CAAAACTTAGGTCCAAAGTAGTAGTATTGCAAAGACTATGTAAAAGTACAGAGTGCTATCTGCTGAGATGCATAATGTGTAAAAGTTGCCAACACTCTGCTGACTCAAACACTGCAGCTCTCCAAACTTTCTCTGGGATTAACATCAGCACAAAAACTGTATGCCAGGAGCTTCATGGCATGGTTTCCATGGATGAGCAGATCCTGTAGATGTAATATGTAAGTGGCCCTGCACTTTTGTCCACATACTGTATATACTGGGGACTGACTTGTTAAATAAACACAAGTAGTGTATTTAAAAAAAAAGAAAAAGAAAGAAAGAAAAGATTACTAAATAAAAATGAGACCAAAAGAATCCAGAACCATGATAGCGGCACCATAAGCATAATTACTGTCTAACACTTCAACACCAGTTCTCAAATTAACACATATTAAACTGTATGTAAATATCACAAAGGTTTTGCTTTCTGCAACATTAGCAACGCAATATTGAAAAAGACTCCAAGGATTCTGCAGAAAACCCCCTGCAAGTCTCAAAACACCAATTTCTTCTCAAAGACAAAACAAATTTTGTTGCTGCACGACCAAACAAATCAAACTGCTCCTTTAAAGATCAAGCTGTCTCTGGCTGCCGTAGATAAAACTCTGCCTCCTATAAAGTCTTTATAGAGAAAATATCAAGCATACAGTATGAAAGCTGCTTAATGTGACCTTTTGGATCTTTCCTTCATTTCTCTTTTAGCCTTCTTTTCTATTTTTAATGTTTTCTTTGATGAGTGCTTCTTTATATCTCCATATTCTATCATAAATGCACAGTGGGTTTTCGAAATGACTCTACAGTTTCTCATTCATTTTTCTCATGACATTTTTGTATTTGTATGTCTTGGTGTATATTATTGTACTTACAAAGTTTAAACCAACTAGGGAAAAATGTTCACTTAATGAGTAGTTTGTGTCTGCAACCACACAGCTGAAACTATTCAGAGTTAACACTGTGCACATGGACCAGTGCAACAACATGAGTGGGTCATGCATTTGTTCGTTCAGCTGCTGATGTGGTGTGAGTAGCATGAATGTGGTGTGTCAACAGCGGCTATGAGAGAAAAGGTCAAGACATGATAAGAAGGTGGCAAAGATAACAGAAACCCTCCTGACCATCTCTCATTTCTGTTTTTGGGAAATTTGAAATCCTGAAACCTCAGACTCTTGCTGAGAGATTCTAAGTCATCATCTTATCACAGACTTCACCTTCACCAAGAAGATGAAGCACCTCCAGAAAATCCACATGAACACTGTGTTGCAGGTTTGCTGGTGACATATTGGAGCAGTCGTGGCTGTCCAGCGTCTCTTATCAGCTTAACCATGCAGCGGATTTTCTCCCTGCAGGTTGTCATGATGTTTTGTGTGTGTGTGTGTGTGTTTGTCTGTAAGCTGGAAACTGTCTGTCCGTGTGATCTGAAACAAATCTGAAAATTAGATAAATGCCACTGGTGACACAGCGCTCCCTTGCTTTTCCTGTGGGTGTGACTGAGGGTCCTTCTGCTCAGCGAAGGGTTGCTGATGCTGTGGCACTCAGGCACAAAATAGCTGGTCACTAAACACTTGGCCTCAGTGTGCTCGTGCTCCTGAAGAGCTGTTTTAGCACCAACTCAGTCAGCTTGAACAAAGATTTATATATACATGCAAATATATATATATATATAAATATTTTATCAGTTATTAACAGTAAAAAAGGATCCAACTTGAATTTTTCTTAAATAAAGATTAGCACAATAACATCAGCTATATTTTGCCTAACAAAAAAAAAAAAAGGCGAGCATAGACCTGACCCTGTGAGGCCCACATATCTCTAAAGAAGTTTTTAATTAGCTAAGACAGACAAGCATACACCCTGTTTTTGTAACTTCGGTCAATCAAATGATTTGTCAAAGATTCTAATACAACAGCCCGTTCTCACTCCCGAGGTGTAACATAATGACGATTTGTCAAGTCCCGAGGCATTCCTGAGGAATGCGAAAGGTGAACTTCCGCGTTCTTCTGCTACGCGCCAGGTTATAGATTAAATCCAGTGGAATGATACTCCCGCGGTAATACACGTTCCAGCCATGTATTCCAGCCCTAACCATAACCTTATCCCTAACCTTAACGAGCGCTTTAATGATGTTAGATAGTGTTTTCCAAAGTGATGTAAGTAAAACAAACGTACATGTGTAGATTCATTCCAAACAGTTCTCATGTTTCTTCATTTTTCCGATCTCATAATATAGGGACGTGTTGGGTGCCCAGAAGCGTAATATACCAACAATTTGTCACCTAGTGTAAAATGTTACGCCTCGAGAGTGAGAACGTGTTGAATACAAAAGTGCTGTTGGAGCCTGTACCTGATCAACTTCCCTGTTTCATTTTACAAGACATGGAATAATTCATCTTCAAAAAAGTGATTAGTAGGAGAAGTCATCACTTCACCCAGCCGTTTTTTTTTTAAATACAGATAACTCAATTATTTCTGAAATCCTTGAAAGAGTAGTTGTCGAACAGCTAACTGATTACCTGGACTAATCCATTTGAGGGGTTTTACACTGAATCATAGCACAGAAATAGAATACTAGAATAGAATAGAATAGAATAGAATAGAATAGAATACCAAATACTAAAGATTTCTTATTACGTCAACGGTGGATTTACCTCTGCTTTTCCCCCTAGTCCTGTAGGATCTTTACCTTACAGTGTATACCACCTTGAGGCAACTTGATGGGAAGTGGTGGTTTATAAATAAAGCTGAAATTAAATGAATTAAGAGCAGTGAAAGTAGAGGCAGTGAAAGCTTTTCTGGCACTGCTCATGCTGGCCTCTTAGCTTGAAAGGCTTAAACTATTGTTAACAGAATGTAGAGGAGCCCATCAAAACAACACATGCTGTGAATTCCAAAGGAATCAGTCAGATTGCCTCAAGAGACAGTAGCCAACAGCAGCCACATGATGGCAGTAATTTCCATTTTTAGATTTCACTGGGCAAGCAAGGATTGTCTGACTTGCCCTGATGCAATTCAACTGTTTGAATTACTCCAGGTGAAAAAGTCCTCTGTGACTTTAGTAAGCCCTTAGAGTTTATGGTGTCAAAGCAAGTTTCATATCTCATTGAATACAACTTTACTTTCATTTTTTAAATGATAATTGCCATTAAAGCCAAAAAAAGAAGATAATGGGTGTGCTGTAGGGTGAGGTTATGTCCTTTCTCTGCCCCTTGCTCGTAGTATCCAGTTCAAAACACAAAGATTGCAACAGCCTCAAGCTCTTTTCCTTCATATTTTTATTTTCGTGTTCAGAATTTACTCTAGATCCCTAAAGTGATTATTGCACTAAGCACTTAAACAATACAAAGCAGCAACCAGAATTTAGTTTGGTTCATACTGTAGACATTCTCCTACTTGAGCTGCAGAAAATGTTTGGCAAACAGGAAAAAAAAAAGATGAATTGCCTGTCTGATAAACTCAAAAGTACCAGCACAACAGCAGAGCTAATATCTGACGAAAGTGCAGATCAGCTTTTATCAGCATCACTTGGATGAGCTCCACTGGCTGTTCCACTCCAATGCCAGGTTTTCTTTGGAGTGACTGCAATTTATCTAGAAGAGAAGCTGGCCTAAAGAAAGCAGTCACTACTGCCATTTTATCTTTTTTTTGTTATGTTAAATACTTGAAAGCTCAAATTTAGCTCTTAAAAGATGGGTGCTTGATTTTTTTCCCCAACCCATCAATATATAAAATGTGAAGCTTCACTAAAATAAAAAAAATCATGTTATGAAAAATGGACTGAAGAGACTCATAACCTGAGTTAACTCAGAAGATACCTCATGAGGTTCTTGAAACAGTCCAAAATGCAAAAGCCACAACACAACAGACCTGAGTCTGAATATATAAGGGTATAAGACAGATGCTGAGACAAAGACTAATTTAAGAACTATAAACAATGGGAAGACACCACTGACTGTATAGAAAAGGGGCAATTAGGAGGAGGGAAAACACCTGGGAAACAAGGACAGCTGAAACTGATCAAGAACAATAAACAACGAAAATAAAAGACAAAACACAACAGACAACAGAGTACTACAATGAAACTGGAGGTAGCGCACGGGGGGGACAGAGATGTAGACTTAACAAGAAAGAAAAGGACATGGGGGAGTCTAAAACCAATTAAGTATTTTTGGTACTCAGCATGTAAACACAATAAAAAAGTAATGTGAACTAAAGACTAAAAACCCTAAAAAATAACCTGAAATACAAAATTTTAAGACCTATAAACAAGATACAGGAGAAAACTCCAGGGAAATTTGTACTGTGTTAGGGTAACAAGTTTTTAAGTTTGCTGTCAGATAATAATAATAAAAAGACAAGGAAAATTTTAGTTTATCACAGCTTAAAAAAATAACTAATTTAAGCCAACAGTACAACATATGACTGCTTGCTTGTTACGTTGGCGCTGCGCTCTTTAGCGTGTGTTGCGGAAGGGAAAACGTCACCAGACGTTCAATTAATCAGAGCAACACAACACAACATGTTGATTTCTCTAAAGGCCAGTGTGAAAATAAAAAATCCATTAGAACGTTTTTGAAAGTTCTCCTAAGTTACAGAATCAAAACATTCTCCACAGGGACTGCACAGCTGCTGACATAATGGTTTTTGTGATGAGAAGAGGCGAGGGCGGGGAAGAAAGGAAGGACAATTACTGTTTTATTGATTAAAGTGTAATGAAAAAGGAAAGCGCCTTTTGGTACACACTTTTAATTTTCTCAACTCTTAAATGCTTCCATTTCCTGCTTTGAATCTTTCCCTGCTAATGTTTGATGTCACATATTTAATATGTGGAAGAAACTCACACAGTTTGTTGGATCAAACTGTGCATTGACGTGTTGCTTGATTTTTAGATATGTATAACTTTGTTTTAGCCTAGACTGTGGGAGGATATTTATGGTCTTATGTCTTTTTTTTTCTTTATCTCACAGGTTGGAAGGAACAGAGGAGAAGTTCAGGAACAGAGAGAGTCGTCCTGAGGATCTGCAGCTCATTGCCGAGCTCAAAGATATGGTTTCTGAGAGAGAAACTCTAGTCAAAAAACTGGTGGTAGGTATTGAGGTAAAGTCTCAACCATAAGAAGCTATAGCTATAAACGTGAAGAGGAAAATGCATCCTCCCTTATTTGTTTGCACACTGAACAAAAATGATGAGTAATGCTTTCCAGATCTTATCTGATTTATAGAGAAAGCATGGATAGTGTTGTCCAGACCCACAAAATATATGTTTAACTCTCCTGAAACCTCTAAGCTAAACATTTGAATAAACCCAACAAAAAAAATGTTAGCTGTAAAATTAAAAATCGCTCAGGTTGTGCTGATTTTCACAAGTTACTTTTCTAACAACACTGATTTTATACTAATTTTTTATACTATATTACTATATTTTATCTTAGATTTGAGACTAAAGTGAAACACCACATGGTTTTACTACAGAACCAGCTTTGAAGTCATCTTTTAAAGCTGTTTGGAAACGGCCAGCGCATTTTAAATAATAATTAAATGACGTCCATTGCACTAATCATCTGTCTGTCACTTCTGGCCACAGGCTAGCTAATGAGCCTCATCAAAGAACCAAGAGAACACCAAAAGAGAAAAACAAGCCAGAGTGTGAGGAGCATTGAAAGCAAGCAATCAATAAAAAAAAGCACTTGGTTTGTCCAATTCTAAATGCTTTCACACTTAGCTGTGACCTTTTCAGTCAGTAGTTCACAGACACACAGCGTCAGATTAATTTAGTAAAGGGTGGCTAACATTAGCAGTGCTAACACCAGCGTCTTGCAGGTTACCGTTGACATGCCTGTGCAGAATCTGGGTACATTTTGCTCTGGTCGAGTAGTTATACCATGTAGTGACTGTGGCTGGGTGTTTAACATCTTATAAAATCTAACAGTTAATTGCCTTTGAATATGAACTTAATTATGAGTAAGTAGTTTAATCAAGCAGTATTTGCACTCATGACTGTCGAGGGCAGCGACATGTATTCGACTAGTCATACACACCCCTAAGCTTAATAACTCATTACTCCCAGAGTTTGACATGTTAAAAATAATGTACAGGTGAGGAGTCCTTCATAAAATGAACAGTCGGTAAAGGATTTGACTCAAAGAGAAGGTGCTAATTAGAATAGTGCAGGACCCAAGACAGAATCCTGAGGAACACCACAAAGTTGTTTCTTAATAAGAGTCCAAAACCTCATGTGACAATTTAAATGTTTAAAAATAAAATAAAAGATTTCAACTTGTCCAAACTTGGAAACATGCTAAATATATTCACATGTTGGCATTCAGACCTGCTACCCTCAGAAATATGTTGGAATTAGTCTTTATTTAGACGCTGCATCACAATTTTCAGCACCATTGTCAGGCTTAGTTTCTCTCTTTTGGACAGTTTGAGACCTAATCTACTTCAGTTCATTAACATTGTGCGATTCATTGTTTTTGTCTGACACTCAGTGGTACTGAGGTGGTGATTTTTATTAATCAGGTTACATTTTTCATGCTGAGGCACTATTGCTGTCTGAGTCATGGAGTTGTCTCTGACAGTTTGGAGCGCTTGGGAGGTGAAAAGTTTGTGCTAAAGTGCATAAAAGGTACCTCACAGGTGCAAAATTCTGATGGACAGAAGAGTTTGGTTGTGAGAATTGCTGTTTTTAAGCAGTTTTCACAAAGACATGAAACTGTAGTGTCAGGTTTGTGTGCCACTCGGAAATGTTGCCAGACAGAGCTCATTAAATGTGTGATTTTCAGTCACTCTACACTCCCCTGAGTCCTCCACAGCCTAACTGGCTGTCAGCTAACACGATTTTCTCCTCCAGGACGATAAAAAGTTCTACCAGCTGGAACTCGTCAACAGGGAGACCAACTTCAACAAAGTGTTCACCGCCAGTCCTAATGTGGGAGTTATCAACCCGCTCATTAAGGTAGGCCCTAATATCCTGTAACACGCCACACACAGGGGCACTCTGATAAGCCTGCTCCATTATTTTACCACATAGCAAAGATGATATCCACTCCAAGTCATTTCATGTACATCCGTGCTGATCAACCAACACCATCAGAGCTGAGGTTTTAAAAAGGTACCACAGTAAATCATTTTAAGTAATACCTGTTAAGAATTACACCATTTTTGAGGTGACCGTTGTCCTTTAGCAAAGTTTAAAGAGCAAGACATGAAGTTGTTTTACAGCAAAGAAAGGATCACGATGTTCCAGTAAAACTTTCAGAGTTTATGAGAGACAGCAGAAGGACAAGGGGAGAAAAAAATCAATTTTATCACATTTATTCTTTTCTGTAAAATGAAGGTCGTCAAGGATGGAGAAATAGGACAGGAAACGGCATGAGGAACAGGAACTGTGGTGTTTCTTTCATTTCTAGATAATAGCACAGACTGAGGAGTGAGGGGGAGGCTGTCCAAGGTCTACATACCAAGATCTTGTTTGTTTGCAGCAGCTGAACTAAAGTGTCACAGTTCATATAAGGAAAGGGCCTTCGGTTTTAATGAATGCAGTCAAATAAAATCAGGAAGTTTGACTGCAATAAAATTATTTTCTATTATTACCTTTAATTAAATAAATGCTGTTTCCTGTTAGTCGCTGTGGCTCAATGTAATTATATAACTAGAGAATTTAAACCTAAAGCCAAAAGGACAATGGTGCTTCTCTGAAGCATTGATTTTGTGATCTGTTTAAAGCTGCTGAAAACAAACATTTCTGTTCTTTAAAGCACTACTCAAAAAATCAGTATATAGGATGTTGGTTTAGCGAAATAACCAGATAAGCAAAAGCAAGCATCAATTTAGATACCAGACTCCCCCGCCCCCAATATTACACAATATATTGCAACAAAAGGAAAAGCTCTGTATACTATATAAGGATAATTAAATGGCACATTTTTAGAAATCATATAAATAACATTTATTTCTATTTTAATATTTGATAACTGAAACAATTTAATTTAGACCTTTCCCTCAGCTTGTGTAAAAAGGTTCAATAAATACCTCAAAATCAATTGTTTATTAGATACTTGGTTTTTATTTCCTTCCTGTCACACCGGCATCGTATTTTCTCTTTTTACTGGATTTATGATGACCATCTTGTAGTTGTCAAGGGTGTGGTCAGAGGGGGGGCATGGGGTGGCACAGGCCCCACTAAAAATACAATTAACTCCACTGGATGAAAGTATGGATGGGACCAGTGGTTCAAATATAGCATAGTGCATTTACTCAAGCACTGTACTGAAGTTCAGCTTAATGTACTACATCTGCTTCAGTAATGCATCTTTATGATGCAAAAATCACTCCTAGTGTTTTCTAATCCAGACTGTATACTGAATATATTTCAGATCAAATATTCTGATTTTCTGTGGGCCCTTTGTTCTTTGTTCTTGGTGTCCCATGTGATAACACTCCCAGACATATCCCTGTTGGCGGTTGCCGTGGTGATTTAAATCAATTAGTGCTTCTACAATAAGAATAGCAGCTCATTTTTCTCTTTGACCGATGTCTGAAGAAGCTCCTTTGAAATTAATACTCTCTTTGTTACATTGCATTAAGAATTAAATTGATATTTTAAAGTAAATAGTGTGCCGACCTTTTCCTTTTGTGGCAAAAAAGTACAAAAGAGCAGAAAATTTAAAGGTTTAGAACAAGATTGACATTGTCATGCAGGACTTCATAGCTCGTAGCAGGAAACGGGTTCAGAAGATGTTTCTGGTTAACAGAATGTGTCATTGTCATGTGTGTCTGAGCTGAATGGTTCCCACTGCATGATTTAACTGTTGACACGATCTCAGGTACAACTTTGACCTGTGACGCGTTGTTTTCTTTGCAAACCCTTTCTCTGATCATGTCTTTGTGTGTATAAATGTGCCACCTGATTCGACTGGTCTTCTTTTCTTCAGCCTTCCTTTGCTTTCAAAGCCATTTGTTAGTGTGAGATGTTTCCCGCTTTTACACATCTCTTCTCATCTGAACTTTCATTCTGCTCAGAGTGACTGGTGCTTTAAGACTGTGACTGAGCAATGGCGGTCTTCAGACTGATCCATTCACTCTGCTTCGATCAGCATTTGAATATTATTAAGTTAGCACGCTGCTCTTTCCTGTCTCTCATTGGCTGGACTGTTACAGCTTCCAGAGCTCTCCCTGTACTCCATTTGCCCTTTTTATCCTTCCATTACTTCCTAAGTTTTAATTATTATTTTGTTTTAAACTTCCCTTTTGCTCCTTTTTGACCCCCGTGCCCCTCCTTTTTCTTTTTTTTTCTTTTTTTTTCTCCTGTGTAGCAAAAGAGAAAGAATGAGAAAACAGCAGCCAGCAGATTGAGCAGCTCTCCTAATGTCAGGGCTCTGGAGGGAGCAGGTATGGGCATGGGCTTGGTGGGTACAGGGAGCGGCCAGCCCCCACAACCACCACCCCCGCCCCCAACCCCGCCCAGTCGCCTAGAGCCTATCCCCAACTCCCCCCTCCATCACCTTGAGCTCAACTCCAACAAACCTCTTGCCCCGCTGACCCCTCCCACCGAACCCAAGAAATTCATGAGGTGAGACCTTTTCAGCCCCGACTAACAGCAGCGTATTAATTATCCAATCACAGGCCTCAGAAGCACTTTTACTGAAGTGAGTCGTGGCCAGAGGTAAACATTCAAATATATAATATCTTTATTTTAGGTTTCAAAACAAACAACAGAACTTGGTTCTTCTTCTCTACAGATGTTTTGTTTTATTAAACTCCTTCTTTCTTGCCAAGTGTGGCACTTTCATAAACCATAAGAAGCATGAAATCATTGTCAGCTATAGCTGCAGATTCTAAAAAAAGAAGCTTTCAGAAGCTCTGGGCTGTGATCAACTGTTCGCTGATTCCCAACCTTGTTGATTGCTGGTGCCATGTTGAGCTTTCCCCTCTTTGCAGTTTGTTGACAGTTGTAGAAGCAATATGTGAAACCTGAGTTTAAGACAAAGAAGGCAGAAAAACTCTGCTTGTTTTTAGATCATCACTTTGGTTTTTCGGCTTAAATATCAGCTGTTGCTACTTGATTTTCTCAGTATTTGTTATTAGTTTAATCAAGGTAACACACTGGTTAAACTGCCAGGTGTTGCTTCCACTTGACTCAGTTTGGAACAAGATTAAAATATATGTATTTAGCAGGTGCTAGAGCTGCAACAAAATTACAGTCATCAGATAATCAGGCAGTTATTTTAAAGATTTGGCTTAGGTGATAGGTGGATACTATGGTATTCTCCAGATACAGTGATGTTAGATTGTTTAAATGCAAAGACATTAAAGGTGACACAGAAAAACAAACTCAACCAAGGTTTAGTCAACATATTATATTTTTGTCCTTGGAAATGAATAAAACCTTTCTATTCACAACAGCTGTATAACCTTGAGAAGGTGCTTTATATTCCAAGGCAAAGGCCCTAAAATATTAAATTGAAAGCCTCAACAATGAGACAGTCCCATATTTATAAAAAATCATTAGGAAGTAGAACCAGGCATCGTATACGTGTTTCAGACATTCAGGGTGAACTGGCATTATAGTACAAGTATTAACTGATGAGATAAAAACTGCTGCATGGCTCGTTGCATTCAAGGTGTTATGGTGTTACATTAAGCGGTCACTCCCAACTCCAACCAAGGGGGTGTTTTAACCCAAATCTTGTTTCACTAATGCTGTCCCTAGCAAAGTACTATCTAGAGCCACATCAGGTTTCATCGTCCTGATGAAGAGCTTGTGTGAGATCTATGTTATACTGCAGGTTGGAAGCTAGCATAAAGCTCTTACACTTTTCTGCGATAAATTCATCCCAAATAGAAAAAAGACTGTTAGAGACAACTGAGAGAGTCAGGCAAGGGTTATTTTTTTTGAAAACCAAGTTTAATCCTACTACTTTAAACCACTGGGGAAAAAACAATAGAAAAAACTGTTGATGATGTAATGTTTTTGGCTTTTAAAGTAACCAGGGCTACTTTTTAAAAGCTAATTTTACGCTAATAAGCTAACAGACATGCTACTGTTTGAAGCTAACAGTCATGCTACTGTTTGAAGCTAACAGACATGCTACTGTTTACTGCTTACAGTAGAGCAAACCAGGTTTAATCAAATCCTCACCACTTTGTTTTTCTTGATTTCGATTTTTAAGTGGAAATAATGTCCAAACTATTTAACTATGGATTGTAGATAGTTTTACATCAAAGACATCTAGAGCCTAAACGTCTGGAGTACCCTAAGTCATATAAATGCTAAGCTATGACGACAGTTTGGTCATTTCATACTTTTTGGTGATAATAACAGTTAATAGTTTTTGATAACAGCCTCTCTCCTCGGGGTTAGGGTTTGGCGAACAGTTAATCAAAAAGACTTGTAGATGATTTTCTGCCTCCTTTCAGGGCCTGAGGTTTTTACTGTATATATCACAAACCAGCTGACCCTGAGTCGACATTAAAGGACACAACTGCTTTCTGCTGCGGCACGTTTGAACTCAGAGACATTGGCAGCTCTTTAAATAGAAGTGAAAAATATGGAAAGGGCAACATAAACACAAGAGTCCCGTGTGCGACTGAAGCTTCAAAGAATGGCCTTGGAATGCAAAAGGGGCATGTTTTTACTTTTGATTTCTTTTCTTTTCCATCAGTCCGAACATGTTGCTGTCTGAACTGCGTGCATGCTGAATGTTTTTCTTTTTGGTTTTGTTTTCTCTTCTTTTCTGTTCAGGACGTTTACACTACGTGTTGTTATTATCCACTGTGTCTTTTTTGTCCTTGTTTTGTGTCATACTGTGACGTTTTTTTCTTCATCCTCACCGTCATCTAAATTTCAGCATGTTGCACTTTTACTCGACTCGAAATGGGCTCAACTGTTTTTGTAAAAAGTAAATAAACGTTTTTTTTTAATGCAGACTTGTATTGAAGTAGATATTGTCTTTT